AATACTGAACCAATACAGTAGTTGAAAGCATTATATTGCTGGTGTAGCTATTTGAGTATTGGACTAGGACATTGGGAGATCAGGATTTCAATCTCCATTTGACCATGGGAACCAACTGGGTGACTATGCGCATCAGAGGAAGACAAGGGCACACCCTCCCTAAACATGTTCTGCTAAGAAAGCTCCATGGTTGATTTACCTTAGGATCACCAAAAGTCAGAAATGACTTGAAACCACACAATTAAAATAACAAATCATAGTACTGTCTGTTCTGTTCCTGAGGCGGCCTTCTATTGAGTTAGTGGTCACAATGAGATTGCTTAATTTTCACAGCATGAGTAACCTTGGACCGTTTTCTACTGTTTTTGGAATTTGGTAGACCATAAGAATAAAATCTTGATGATTGTGAAATGAATCGGGCTTTTAAAAAGTTTGTTTTAGATCAAATGTGGAATCCTGTTCAGCGCAAAAGGTCTTTATATTTGTGAAAAGCACTGTCTCGTCCACTTTCTTTTTCCTTCCTTTCTCTCTCTCTAATACAGAGCTTCCTCAGTGAGGTTTATTATTAAGTTCTTGTGGTGTGTCAAGCCATGAGGAATACATTTGGTTCTGAAGAAAAATCTGCAGAGCGATTCTGTGTACATTCCTTGTAATTTAGCAATGGGTTGGTGGTTGGCTGTTCTGGAGTGTTACCAGGATACATAGTGGGTGTTTCTAACAACCAAAGCATGCTGCCCGATTTTTTAAAAAGAAAATATAAAACCCTGAAATCCCAGTTATCCCCAGGAACACATTGCAAATAGCAGGAAGTGGCATTTCCTCCCCACCCCGAGTGATAAAACACATTTCGTTGCTAGAGGTTCCAAAGTGAAGTGCGAAAGGAATAGAAACACACCACTCTGACCTGGAATACTGTGGGTCTCTTATTTAATATTCATTAAATTATTTAGGAGCTTCACCTAGGCATAAGCAGCTCCCAGTGGTGCAATGGTGCTGGTAGGACTGAATACTGACAGGTTGGAGGTTCAAATCCGGGGAGAGCACAGATGAGCTCCCTCTGTCAGCTTCAGCTCCAGCTCTCCATGTGGGGACATGAGAGAAGGATGGTAAAACATCAAAACATCCTGGCATCCCCTGGGCAATGTCCTTGCAGATGGCCAATTCTCTCATACCAGAAGCGACTTGCAGTTTCTCAAGTTGCTCCTGACATGGGGGAAAAAAACTTGGCATAACTTGCCTTTGTTTCTGTACAAGGAAAATTAGAAAATATAATTTTTAAGAGTACAAATAAGTCTTTACTATGCCTTCCACCTAGTTCCTTCTTCCCTAGAACCCACTGTTCCCCAGGACTTCCTTGGAGGAGCAACCTTTAAGCTGGTTTGACATTTGCTTTAAATTTGTAGAGTAGATTCACCCAAAGTGTCTGTTATCTCTCCCTCCCTGCAGCCTCACAACCAAATGTGCTAAAAGTCTGGGAAAGGAGGACAGAAGAGGAAAACAAACATTGGCGCTGTCTTCATAATGTAATTTTCAGTTTTAGTAGATAATATATCCTAATTTGAAGGAAAGTAAAAAAAAAAACCTCCTGATACCTCATCACACTAGAGAATGAATCAGCTTTACATCCGGTTGCTGCCTCCTGCAGAATGTTGGGGTTTGTAGTTTAGGGAGGAGCCTTTAACAGTCTCACTAAACTACAAATTCCAGAATTCTGCAGAAGGCAGAAACCAGATTTAAAGTAGATTCATTCTCTAGTGTGATGAAGTATCTGGTAGATCTCTCTTTTCTGGTGAATGTAAGAGTTCAGGTTTATCAGCTCATCTCCAGAATAGCATCATAGACCACAACTAGGAAAACTTTATTTTTTTAAAAAAAAATCTTTATTATGAATTTTCCTTAAAAAAAGAAGAAAAAACCTGGAATATGCTATATTTAAAACTTTGGATAGTCGAAAAATGAAGCAAGAAAAGATGGAAGTAAAAGAGAGGGAAAATAATAAAAAAGGAAAAGGAAGGAAAAGAAAAGAGACATAGCAGGAAAGTAACAGTATGTGTGGGTTTGTTGACTTCTTGGGTATCTTCCAAGTGGTTTTTCCTTTTCTTTCTTGTATCTTATTCTTCTTCCATCTTCTTCTCTCTTATTACTATATCAATATATTTCTGGGGGTTATTTTTGTTTCAAATAATCTGTCACTTACGTCCAGTCAGTTTCTTTTATTGGGGTCCCCTTATTTTTAGATATTAAATATGTTTGTTGTTAATTTGTTCAGTCGTTTCCGACTCTTCGTGATCTCATGGACCAGCCCACGCCAGAGCTCCCTGTCAGCCGTCACCACCCCCAGCTCCTTCAAGGTCAATCCAGTCACTTCAAGGATACCATCCATCCATCTTGCCCTTGGTCGGCCCCTCTTCCTTTTTCCTTCCATTTCCCCCAGCATAATTGTCTTCTCTAAGCTTTCCTTTCTTGTCATCATGTGGCCAAAGTACTTCATCTTTGCCTCTGATATCCTCCCCTCCAATGAGCAGTCGGGCTTTATTTCCTGAATTATGGACTGGTTGGATCTTCTCGCGGTCCAAGGCACTCTCAGTCTAAGGCACTCTCAGAACTTTAGTAAATATGTTAATATATCCATATTTCTGATATCTGCAATTTTCCCTATCCAATCATCTAATTCTGGGACCTCTTCCTTTTTCCAAACATCAGTGTAGCAAATTCTTGCAGCTGTATTCAGTAAAAATAAGAGTTTATCAGTGTTTTTGTCTAAGTTTTGATCTATTATTCCTAGCAGGAGTATCTCTGGTTTCAAAGGGATTCTAATACTTAAAATGTCTTGCAATGTATCATGATTTTTTTACCAATATATCTTGGACTTCTCATACGACCACCACATGTGGAAATAAGACCCTTTCGCCTTTCCACATTTCCAACACTTTATGTTTATATTTTTGTAAAGTTTCCCTAATTTCTGTGGGTTCATGTACCACCTGTGTGATACTTTGATCCAATTTTCTTTTAATTCTGTTGCGTACGTATATTTAATTATTGTTTTCCAATTTTTCCCCATTCTTCTTTTTTTATTCTTCTTCTTATATTTTCTTTCCATCTTTTCATATATTTTTCCCTCCACCGTATCTGTATTCCATTCTAATAATTTTCTATAGATCTTTGTTATTATCTTTTGTTCTGATTTCAGTATTATGTCCCAGAATGTATTTTGTACTTGAAAACCCATTTCTTTGTCTTTCTTGAAGCATTCCTTTATTTGTCTATATTGGTACCATGAATTTTTTTCATTTACTGTGTTCGTTTTCTGTTGTGTTTTTAATACCATTACACCTGCTTCCTCCTTTAATAATCTATCTATATATAAATGCTCTGTGCATAATGAGTACCTTAAAAACAAAAGAACCAATGAACGAAATCACACCAAATTTGGCAACAAAACGTCTCACACCACAAGGAGTGACCATCACTCAAACAATAATGACTTTGTCATTTGGGACTTATAGTTCACCTATAATCAAAGAGCATTTTGAACTCCACCAATGATGGAATTGAACCAAACTTGGCACACAGGACTCCCCTGACCAACAGAAAACACTAGAAGGGTTTGGTGGGCATTGACCTTGAGTTTTGGAGTTGTAGTTCACCTACATCTAGAGAGCACTGTGGACTCAAACAATGATGGATCTGGACCAAACTTGGCACGAATACTCAATATGCCCAAATATGAACACAGATGAAGTTTGGGGAAAATAGACCTTGACATTTGCGAGTTGTAGTTACTGGGATTTATAGTTCACCTACTATCAGAGCATTCTGAACCCCTCCAATGACAGATTTGGGGCAAACTTCCCACACAGAACTCCCATGACCATCAGAAAATACTTAAGGCCATCCAGTACAACTCCCTTCACCAGGGAAAGAAAACATAATCAAAGCCCTCCTGACAAAGAGCCATCCAGCCATAGATATAGATAGATAGATGATAGATAGATGATAGATAGATAGATAGAGATAGATGTGATTCACACACACACACAGATAGAGTATCATAGATTTGAAAGGGACCCCTAATGAAAGACAGTTATATGCTGCATGTTCCAGAGTAGGTAAAGCAGACACTCTCCACATCAACACTGACAAAGAAACAGCAAGAAATACTGTTTACCCACAAGTATAAAAAAATTACATATATTAGAAACCAACACTTTCTCATTATTTTATATTCCAGATCACCAGACTGGGCCACAGCAACGTGTGGCAAGGGGGCAGCTAGTTCTTTAATAATTCTTTCTTTTTTATTTGACAACTTCCAGGATCTTCTATTTAGCATGTCTAGCAATTGCCTCTAGTCCTTACACTATTCAGTAGTAGAATGGCTGTCCGTTAGGGCTGATCTTGAGGAAGAATGGAAGCAAGCTAGCTACTGTGATAGTTCTTTAAAAAAGATAGCTGGATTTCAATTTTTGTGCATATTTACACCTCAAAGGCAGAGGAAGAGATGGAAGTGAAAGAAGTGAACCAATGATGTGTACTTTCATTATGGTTTGGAACCTACGAAAAGTTTCTGTCAATCTGCCACTGATTGCTATTAATAAATCCTGAGTGGAACCATTTGGATTCACTTTTCCTCCTCTTCCTTCTTTAGTTTCTTCTGATTCCATTTCTAGCCAAAATGGTCAGAAGTTTGTTTTTCTCCAATTCAGAGGAAATGGGGAGGGATTTGTTTATTATGCTGCTGCTGTTCCTTCATTGCTTGCCTTTGACAATTCCCATGGACTGTGGCAACGGGGCTCACATATCTGAGGTTGACGGCATTCCAGAGATTTCACAGGGTTGGGCCTGGGGTGGCCTCCTGCAACTCAGCGCATAGCAGCATATGTGGAGTGGAGCAGAGGGGACTGTGCAATTACACACCATACACATCTGGCAGAGACTGATCTGACTGTGTTTCTTTCTCCCTCCCCCGTCCCTATCTTACTTCTTTTCTTTATTAGAGTATAAGAAGAAGTATGGCGAAGAGCATGGCTCATGTCAGGCTGGCATAGCAGGCTTCTTCACAGAGGTGAGTGTCAGCACTTTGGCAAGAAGCTCAAGATTTCCCTGGTGCGTGCTGGAAAGAGATTTTGAATCAAGAAACTTCCCTTTGGCTCCAGCAATTTCCTAGCTGTTACACATTGTCTTTCATCCTAAAGCCTTGCTTATGCGACTCTGTGGGAATTTTATTTGATTTATTACATGCTTACTGATTCTGCATGCACCAACTGCACTTATTTAATGGATAACTGAGTGGATCCAGACATAGTAGCCTTACCTGTTCGTGCTTCCTAGCAGTAACAGACCACAACTGCCAGGCTATGGGGCTTTGGGAAGTTATAATCCACACATTCACTGTTGTGTTTTAAAATACGTTCACATCTATATACCATATTTTCCGGCATATAAGACAACTGGGCATATAAGACAACCCCCAACTTTTTCAGTTAAAATATAGAGTTTGGGATATACTCTCCATATAAGATTACCCCTCTTCCAACGCACACAAAATAAATATTTAAAAAGCATCAGATTTGATTTCAATATGGTAATTTTCCTATTACTGTACCTCCTTCTCTACCTCTCAGATCTTGCACATGCGCACCTGCACTGCTTCACTGCAGTCTTCAGGAGTGAGATCTGAGAGGCAGAGGAGGAGGTACAATAATAGGATAGAAGGGCGGGCCAGACAGGTAAAAGAGTTGTGTTTTTCTGGGCCCAGAGCCACTCTACCTCTTTTTTCCATACCTTGGGTGCCCCGGACGCCTGCAGCTTGCTCCGCCCTTCACTTACACCATCCTGGTGAGGTGCCCCTTCACCTCGCCATCGGGGCCGCAATAAGGCCACGAATCCTGATGAATGGATTTTCTTCTACCGTACTTAATGCTTTTATATAGTCACTGCATATAGCAGAGACGCGGCCACTGCCATTTTTGAGCTCCCCCCACCATATGCAGCAACCACAGATTCTCCAATCCAGATTGGAAGTTTCGGCACCCGCTCTATAAGACGACTCCCGGCGTATTAGATTACTCCTGCGTATAAGACGACGCCCACGCATAAGGCTACTCCCATGTATAAGACGATTGCCATGTATAAGATGACCCCTGACTTTTGCGAAGATTTTCTTGGGTTAAAAAGTAGTCTTATACACCAGAAAATACGGTAAATAAAAATGTAATGCTTGTTTGTGGGATTAACATAACTCCAAAAACACTGTATGAATTCACACCAAATTTGTACACAATGCACCTACCGGGCAAGTGACCATCACTCATAAAAACACTGGAAAACATAGCGGAAGAGACTTAAAAAGCCAATTTTTTTTAAAAAAACGTTGCAACACATGTGCATAACCACATATATACACAAATATATACACCCATATACACATATACACACATGCAAAACACATATACACAGATTAGACCATAGCAACGCGTGGCAGGGGATGGCTAGTTTTTAATAAATTGTGCATAACCAAAACTTTAGTTACAGGATAACTTAAAAATGTAATAGCACTGGCCAACACACTTTTTGGTGCCCCAAATTGTTGACTTGTTTCTGGGTATATTTGACCTGCTGATTCCAAAAATGGCACCACTTTCCCCCTATCAGCTCTAGTATTTGCAATACAGATGTCATTTACCAGTCACCATTTGATTGCCCATAGAAAACCATGATAACTATTAATTGGAACAAGCGCACTTATTGTTAGCATCAATATATATCATCTCTGTGTCAATGTTTACTCTTCCCTTGCTGCTATTGATATCTCTCCAAGTTTTAGCACAAGTGCACTTTATAACAACTTTAGCACAAGTGCACTTTATACCAACTTTAGCACAAGTGCACTTCATAGCCTTTAACACTCTGGAGGGAGAAGATGGCATTAGGGGGCGGGACTATCGGGACCCAGAGACAGATAATCATAATCATAAGCATGTGCCTATTACTAAGATTACAACTACAGGTAACGGAGGGAACGTCCCCGGGGGGTGGGGCCACGGGTGGGGGAGCCGCCATAGAGGTGGTGATTGGCAGAGGGAGATACGGGAAAGGGAGAATAAAATTCCCATTTCGGCCCAAAATTTATAGCAATAATTCGGCAACCCCTAAAGATGTTAGAAATCAAAAACAGAAGCAAACTCGGCCCAAAATTTTCAATAGGACATTGGCAACTCCAAAAATAAATACTACCATTCGGCCCGAAATTAATAAAAATAGATTGGCAATTCCAAAATCTTCTCCCGACAAAATACATCTGAGGTGCCAGGATGGTGGCCCCTCCAAGCTGAAGGTGGTGCTGTTCAATGCCAGGTCGGTAAATGGAAAAACTTCCATTATCCAAGATCTAATCCAAGAAGAACGAGCCGACCTGGCTTGTATATCGGAAACCTGGCTGGACGAGGGGGGAGGGGTTAATCTCTCCCAACTCTGTCCACCATGCTATTCTGTTCAGCACCAACCAAGGCTTGGAGGGCGGGGAGGCGGAGTCGCAGTGGTCTATAAGGACTTTATTCCACTGATTAGGTGTCCCATCCCACAATCATCTTCCTTTGAGTGTGCCGGCTTTAGGATAGATGACCGGGGCAGGATAGGGATTCTGTTAGTGTACCGACCACCCCGCTGCACTACAGTCTCCTTACCTGAGCTAGCGGGAGTGGTCTCGGACATGGCGTTGAACTCCCAACGGCTTTTGGTCCTGGGAGATTTCAACATCCATGCCGAGGCCTCTCTTTCCGGTGCGGCTCAGGACTTCATGGCCGCCATGGCATCCATGGGCCTGTCCCAGCTAATATCTGGTCCCACCCATAGTGCCGGACACATCTTGGATTTGGTCTTCATACAGGGATGGGATGAGGGTGACGGGATGGAGGAGCCAACCATCGCCCCTTTGCCATGGACCGATCATCACCTGATCAGTTTTAGACTAACTGTGCCTTCCAACCTTCGCAGGGGTGGTGGACCCATTAGAATGGTC